GAAATGAAATTATTTTATGTTATAGGAACTTTCATTAGCTTTCAAATGATATAAATCTAAGTGGGTGTTCCCGGCAAATAAAAAAGATATCATGAGTCCAACACATTTCCCCTAAGGTAAACCACCCAATACTGGGACAATGCGAAAATCCGTCGTAAAGTGGGACACCTGCGATTTTAAGTAATTTCTTCAATGAAAATTTATAAAAACAACGATAAATCATATGAATTATCATTCATTTGAATCCTATAATGCATATCTCAAACGCTATTTTTATCTGCACTTACTCAAAAAATACGAAAATTCAATGAGTAACGACGAAGTTGATGGGGAGAAATTTCGGTGCGAAATCTTAGTTCTGAGTGGAAAAGTACCCACTCAATTTTTGTAAATTAAAGATAAAAGTCAAATATAAAGTAGGTAATGTTAAGTTTTATATTCAATATTTTGACTTCTCGGAACACGACTGTACTGTTATTTTTACAAATAATAGTATATTTTTTTTATAACAACATGTCCTGATTTACGTGCAATTATTTCGCAATACGTCCTATAGTAGGACACATTAAGTCATATATTTGCTATACGCCCCGCGGTGCAGTTCGCTTTGTCGCTTAGGGTAGCATATAATATCTGCATCCATTAGAAGTAAGTGTATATTCGTAACTATTATAAAAAAGTGTGTCTTTTTAGACAATTATACTTATTATATTATTCAATTAAAAGCAGGGTAAATATGAGCCAATTTTGCGCAGACTTGTACGTCTTTGGTGATCGAGTATCCTAACCTTGAAAAGTACCAGCCACTGAAGGTATGTTTACATTCTGTTTTCAATTTATTAAGAAAAATTGAAAGCAGTACAGAGTAAAATAAAAATAAAAAAAGAAAGGATTTAATGTTATTTAAAATGATTTATTATCAGTTTGTATTTATTAACATAATTTTTGTTGAAATTTCGGAATCACATTAATAACAATAAAAAACATATTTATTCTTTAAATTATAAATCTATTGACTTTTTATTGTATATTACCTATCATTTAAATCAAATTAATATTCATTGCTTGAGATCGTATACCTATCCATATTATTATGTCCCACTTTTGGTCTGACGCCTGTCCCACTATACAGTGGCGCTGTTCGAAGTGTCCTACTATAGGTGATTTTTACTACTCAAGAAAATGTCTTATTTTTTTAATAATTTTACAATCTAGAATTTTTTTAACTAATATATTACATTCTGGAAATCCTACGCCATCGCGAGAATCAATTTAGTTTGCACTATGGCCGTTTTTTTGAACGATAAATTAGTAAAATAAAAGTTTGTCCGGATAAGTGTCCCAGTATTGGGTGGTTTACCTTATGTTCTGCCATGCCGACGCTGTGCACTGCGTAACGCATATAGCCTTGCGCTTAGAGTTTTAATAAAGAACCACCTTGCATCGCTACAGCCTCCTTAACCTTTTAAATGACTAGTAATTGCCATGATCACGCATGTCCCATCTGTATTCCATACATGCCCATCGCCCCACTTGCTTACCCCCTCCCACTACCTATCGTTCACGGCGCTGCGTGTTGCTGCTGGTGTCAGCCAAGCAGCGAGCCGGCAGCAGCACGACTCGCTCGTCACTCTAGTTTTCTCCGCAGCACTGGACGCACAACTAGCATTAGCAGCTCGCGACAGTCCGCGCTATTATTGTATCTCGTTCACGTTTATAGCCATTGCAATAAATACTGCCATTATAGTTGCCAGTATTTATTGCTGTTGGAACTGATTTTAAGCGTCAATAAACAATTTTTGGATTGACAGAATACAATTTTTAAGCCGGATTTTGAAAGTTTAGCTGCTTTACTTATCGATATTTTTTGGTCGTTCCTGAAAAACATTAACGAGGCAGTTTTTCAAGTTGATGAAATTTATTGTCATGCATGCCCTGGTCTCCCCTAAAAATACCATATGTAATATGATTTTTATCGCTCTCTTCAAATCTGGCGTCACGTTTGAAAAGAGCGATAAAAAGTCTATAATATATGATGTTTTTACATTATTTAGAAAATTGTTTCACAAAAAAATAACGCGTGAAAAAATAAGTCAAAATTAGGGTTTTTGGTATTGAAGAGGTTCATTACTACGAAGATATAATCCCTTAGGAATTTCGTGACTTTTTCGTAAGGGATATAGGGTCAAAATAATACTTTTTTACAAAACCGTGCGCACGTATGTCACCGATTTTGACGCACTTTTGGTATATTACAGTACCTGGTAAAAAAGTCTCAGAAACAACATTTTAGACCCCCTCCCCCCTCCTATCCCCAACTCCCCGTATATATTCTATTTTTAATTTATATTTTTTCTGCAGCCCCGAAGTAATTAAGAAATCTGAAAAAATTCATAAAAATATTTTTTGAAAATCCAAACAACCTTGAATTTTTCCCAAATTTATTCAGATTACCTTACACACCTTTTGAAGCAAAAACCGCTTTTTCTAACGAAAATAATTTTTGTAGGACGATACGGAGCCTCGAAAAATCTGTAAAAAATTTTTTCTTGTTTTTTTCATCAAAATACATAACCCTAAATTTTTTTTAGCTTCTGGAGCCAAAAAATGCTTTTTTAAACAAAAAAAAGGTTTCTAGAACCCGATGGTTCCGGTAAAAAATTTAAAAATATTTTTTTTTGAATTCCTTGTCAAATTTTAATAAATTTTGACCGTTTCAAGTTTTCGATTGAAGCCTCCTAGCTCAATCTAGAGCTTTACAAAAATCAATGCAAAATTCTGAAGACGTTTTTGAAGACATTAAGGAATAATAAAACCATTTTGATGCTCTAGAATAGGCTAGGAGGCTTCAATCGAAAACTTGAAACGGTCAAAATTTATTAAAATTTGACAAGGAATTCAAAAACAATATTTTCAAATTTTTTAAGCGGAACCATCGGATTCTAGGAACCTGATTTGTTAAAAAAAAAGCATTTTTCGTCTCTAGAAGCTATCGCCTACATTTAAAAAAATCTGAAAAAAATTGAGGTTATTTATTTTGATAAAAAAAAAAGAAAAATATTTTTCCAGTTTTTTCGAGGCTCTGTATCGTCCTAAAAAAATTATTTTCGTTAAAAAAAGCGGTTTTTTGCTTCAAATGGTGTATTAGGTAATTTGAAAAAATCTAGAAAAAATTGAGGTTATGTTTTTCAATTAAAAAAAAACTGAAAAAATTTCCGAGTTCTACATCGCTTCATATCGCCGTATCTCGATTTTCAGAATTTTTAATGATTTTATCTAAAGGCCTGAAGCACTCAAAAAATCTGAAAAAATTCAAGGTTGTTTGGATTTTTGAAAAATATTTTTATGAATTTTTTCAGGTTTCTTGGGTTACTTCGGGGCTTCAAAATAAATATAAATAGAAAATAGACGTTTATACGGGGAGTGAGGGGGGGGGGGGGGGGGGGGNGGGGGGGGGGGGGGGGGGGGGGGAGAGGGTCTAAAATTCTGTTTTTTGGACCTTTTTACGATGTACTATAACATACCAAAAGCGCGTCAAAATCGGTGACATACGTGGGCAAGGTTTTGTAAAAAAGTATTATTTTGATCCTATAAAATCTCGATTATTGTTGGGACAACTTTTAAATGAGCCTAAAGTCAGGCTGCTTAACTAAGTTTATTCTTTTTTTTTTTTTTGCAGGTACTTTTTTGATCCAGTTCATTTCAAAAGCTGTAAAGAAGAGGATCTATCACATTTGGTTTAAAAATAGCTAGTGGGCTCTAATGACTGTAATAACTTAAGCATAGACTCCATGTCTAAATTTTGTTTATGTGAAAGCTTAAAATTTTTTTTTAGAAAAGTCCAAACACTATCCATGAACTCATAAAATCCCATTTTTTAGTGACATATTTATTAAATTGAAAAAATGAGCAGTTTAACATAAAATTATCTCAATTCATAGTTTTATAGTATAATTTTCAATGTAATATCATAACAGAATTTTTAATTTATACACATGAATTTTATAGGGAGCGGTACTATTTAACGAAATATTTATTAAAACTTATAAGCATTTTTCAATAACGTTCTACAATATTGAATAAATCTGATTAATTCATTTGCAAATATCTTTTTCATTGTGACAATAAAGAAATGAAAATTATTTATTTAAATGAGTTGAATAATGCTTTATTTAAAATACGTTGATGACTTTTGTATTAACTAAATGATTTGTTTCATTGATATTTGTTACTACAAAAAAAGATTTGATAGCATCAATGATTATTAATAAATAGTATAATTTTTATTGTTATTTAAAATATTTTTATTATAAATTCATCAGATCAGCGACTGTTCAATTAAATACATAAATAAAATACTAAAAAATTTGATGGAACTTTTCAAATACTCTAATCTATTTTTTTTAACTCTGATTAGTGGGCGCTTTCCAAACATTACACATCAAGACTTTACATGTCTATAAAGAAACTGTTGCCAATTCAAAGTTTAAATATTAACACATAGAAATTTCAAATGTTAAGTTTAGACAGTTTCAGCTACAATGAGTACATTTATGTCGAGTGAAAAATCATGTACAAAATAATGTATCTTATGTGAAATGAATAATATTATAAAATACATGCATTTTATAATGATTCAGAAAATTGCACATCACCATGATGAAATTTTTCATTTTATTTCTTGTTTATTTAGTTAAATGATGCTGATGCTCCAGATATAATAAAAATAAACTTATAATATAATTTTATGTAAAATATTTATCTGTAATGCTCAGAGAAATAAAAATTGTCATAAATAACTAGCTAGATTGATAAAAAAGTGAATTGTATATAAAAAGTTTCAAATTTTAAATAATGTGTAAGAAAATTCAATTTCAGCAATATAATTGAGTCATTAGAATGGTAGGTTACTTTATGATTCACATAGGTAATTATCAAAATTATACTGAAATAAGTAATTCAGTGTCTATGAACAAAACAAGAAAATACAACAAACTTACTCATCTGCCTTCATATTTAATGTTATATTTAATTCCTTGTTTATTTCAATCAAATATACTAATCAACACTTCAACACTATCAATATTAAGTGGGAACTGTCAATAAAACTTCTACCTCACCAACTTTAAATGCAACAAAAATGTTTGAATGCTAATTACCCACTTAGATAATAGATATTGTTTTACAGTAAAAAATTTTACAGTGAAAAAGTGAACTTGATAGCGTCTTCAAGATGGCAGCGTGCCTCGAGTACCGGTCTCGTAGTACTCTATAGATCCAATAGAGGCCCTTAGTATTTATTTTTATCGAAATCACTAGTTCCCCATTTCCCGCCAACCGACCAATTTGGAAAAAAATTGATAGGCACTTTGAATTTTACTGTAAAAATTTAAGTTTTCTGTTTTATTATAGAACTCGATCCAAAGATTTTTGTCTAATGAAATAATTTTTTAATGAGTATACTTATAAAAAGAAGATAGTGGTAAAAAATGGAAAAATTTCGATTTGGTTATTTTTAATTCTTCGCTAAATAAAGTTAAATGGTTTCTTATTATAATAATGGGGTATGATTTTGTACAGAAAAAAATCTTACGAGATTTATTGCATATTCATGACAAAAAACATTTAACGGTTATGACATTACAAATTCAATAGACTAAACATCGATAGCGTTTCAATACATCAATTTTCGTTTGTAAAAGATAAATAGTTGAAATTGCATGTGAAAATCGACCTGGATGGATTTGTAATTATAATTACAATATACATATTTTTCTACAATGAATATTTAATGAGAAACCCTTGTAAATATCGCGTAGTAAGTGTTAAAAAATCAAAAACAACCTATGCGGTGTATATTTTGACGAGAATTCCGATGGTGACATTGAATTTGACTTTGAACATAACCTGAAGGCTCCAGTGACCTAAAAATCTATTTTTTAATTGAGAACCCCGATTTTCATTGCAGATTAGAAATTTTTTTATTTTTTATTCATGTGAGTCGACATGATAAAAGTACTGGATCAAGAGATTCAAACTGCAGAATTCACGGGATTTCTTTAGTCACGAAATCATGTATAGGTCACAGTGATCATGAAAAATCATATAAGAAACTGATCATTTTTACTATTTGAAGATTTTTATAGGTATTTTTTACATGAACAGGTGGTGTTAATATTGTTCGTAACTTTTTTATTATGCACGCACGCTAAAAAGTAAAGGACCATTCGATTACATGGAAATATACAAATATATAACCGTAGGATTTTTAAAAAATTTCATAATGATCTTCGTTTATTTTATACTGACAAGGAGACCACATGAGATGCGAGTCACCAAAGGTCCTGAAAATTTTTTTCTGGTCTCCTGGTATCTAATAATAAAGCCCCCTATGGTAAGTTTGATCCAACGGGCCTTAGGGCCCATTTTAAAAATCATTTTCTAGTTTATTGAAAAATCTTTGTAATTTTCTAACTCGTAATAGGGACATTAAATTAATTATTCTTTGACTAATCTTAAGACTTGTACATTTTGCATTTTTTTCTTTAAGATGTCCTGTTACGGGTTAGAAAATCACAAAGATGTTTTGGTGAATATTATTGAGTAGGAGATTTAATAAAGACACGTTGTACTTATAAATTAACATAAATAGGTTTATTAATATAAGTGTACAGGCGAAGAAGCACTCGCGACAACGGTCGATCGAGATCTGAGTAGGTGCACTGTATATGAGAGAACTAATGAGAGAGATTTACAAAGAGAGAGGGCAGCACCCTTGTAGCGCAGAACGCATACACGTATTATAGATTTTTTACATTCCTTAGCAAAAGATTTTTCAATAAATTAGAAAATGATTTTTATAGTGGGCCCTAAGGTTCATTGGATCAACCTAAGAATAGTGGGCTTTATTATTAAGTACCAGGAGACCAGAAAACATTTTTCAGGACATTTGGTGACCCGCATCACATGTGGTCTCCTTGTAAGTGTAGATGAAGGTAAAACAAGATTAAACACTATTTAAATCCGGATCATAATTTTAAAACATATTTCTAAATGTATTTTAAGTCGTATGTATATTCGATTTTCTAATAGTAACCACGGCTAGCTGACTAAATGAGCCTAGTAGATTGTATCTTATCTATCTAATCGAATCTAATCTATCTAATCTAATCTAATCTAATATATAAAAGAGCCATTGCGATTATAGATCGAATTGAACCCTCTTAAAGCCAACTTCATGTAAGTACAAGAAATATTTTAGTGTCATCTATGTATACGCCCTCTGTAGTTAATAATATCTTGATTGATTATTATTTTCAAAATATTTCCATATATTAAATTACATACTCATAAGAGTTCCATGCGCGCGTAGCGCGCAGATAGATTTCTAGTTATGAATAAAAAATGAAAGCTACACTCCATAATTAACGCGTATGGCTATTTTTCGAAAAAAAAAATAATGTAATAGGCATGGCATATTTTCGGAATAGGGCGTTTTTCAATTAGTGACTTTACGGATTTGCCTGGAGGCAAAACAAACAAGACGTCTCTCATTTGTTTAAGCCACAACACCTTGCATATTTTACCTCCAGGCAAATCGTAAAGTGACTATTTTGTGACAATTGAAAAACGTCCTATTGTTGATGCGATAAAATATACCTGCACTTCGAGCAGACTACATAACATATGAATTGATTCTGTTCCATGGAAGTTGGAACGCTGGAATTTTATACTGCTTAACTGAACAGAAACAAAATCTTAATACAATGATGCTAGCCATAGTATGTATACATTTACAATTTTCGAACCTTACAATGATAGGGTCGTTGTTTGAATACAATAAAAATGATAGAATATAATTTTTCATTGTAATCGATAAAAAATGTTTTTGTTCAGATTACGTCTAGTTTTTACCACATTTTACAGCATTTAAAAAATAATTTTTACGTCTCTTTTCTACATGTGAAAGTATAAATATGAAGAGCATTACTTACTACTTCGGTAAAACGCCAAAAATATCTGATAATAATCCAAATGATATGAAATTCGAATGTGATGAAGTTAACGAAAATGATAAAGGAGTGAAAAGAAAGTTCAAAGAAAGGCAATCTAGGGTGAATAAAAAGAGCAAAATAGATGCATCTATTACAAAAAATAAAATACTTCAACAGCATACTCTGAAAACAAGTAATAAAGAAGGTTTTTTGATTTCTCATGAAAATATTAGTCAACTAAAACCTCTTCTTGAACTCGTAAGTTTTTTTCAATTTAAATTATATATTTTGAATATATTTCAGAAATTGATCAACATGTTGGATATACACAATTATCTTTCATTAAAATTCTAAATGTCACCTATGAACACAGTTTGTGACAGATTCTTAAAAATGACTTAAAAAATTAATGTGAAGAATCTGTATATTAAGTTAGTACTGATAATTATATTTTTTTCTATGAGTTTTTTTTTCTTACCTTGAACATAATTATCAAATGAAGTGGTATATTATAATTAAACTGTGCATTACTTAATTAATTTTACACGACTATTTTATGGTACCATTTTATGTGAATATTCTTCAAACTTATATTCAAAACTTATAAAACTACTAAATAATTTTTTATTATAAAAAAACAAAGTTGAAAAATGCTTATATGTTTATATGAACTTGAATTAGGTTGATTATAGGTAATCTACACATCTCTAGGGTAGCTATTGTGAGAATTACTTATAAAATACAATAAAAAATTAACTTTAAGTGCAATTTGGGTTGATATTTTTACAAATGAGTGAATTTGAAAAATATTTTTTACAGTGCGCCATTTATATTATGTGTGCTATATAAAACCAAAATGCTTTACTCAATAATGAATGAAAAGTTCTATATTTGTTCCGAATTCTTTCAAATGCATTAAATCATCATGTAGATGTAATTTATCAACTGGAATCGAAATCAAGGGACAAAATAATTAACATCTGAAATAGTATAAGATTACATTAAAACTTATTGGGGAAATTATTGGGATAAAGCAGATTATATTCTAGTTTTATTGTAATATTTTATCAAAATTATTATAAAAATAACTGTAAGATAGTTTATTTTTCATTATCCAAACTATGAGTTGTTGAAAAAGTGTTGCAATTCATATAACAGCTTATAATAACAGCTTATAAATTATAGTAAAAACATTCTCACAATACTCTATTTTACTCTTAAGAAATTCATTGTGTTAGTAAAGATAGTAACCAATTTGCAAGTCAAGTTATTTCATTTAAAATTTCAGGACGGAAAACTAAATTTGCATTGCCATCACTACTTTGATAGCAAAGAAAATTCATAATGATTTTTCTAAGAGTTCTAGATATGACTATTAATAGGATTTCTTTTGAGATCTTATTGTACACTTGAGTATTTATAAAGTAATCTCTAGCATCAACATTGGTCAAAAATTTTAGTCAGGTTCATGTGGCACAGGGCTTTGGAATGATAGGTCAGTATAGGTGCACATTGAACTAATTTAAAGGAGAGATTACAATATTCGCCAACCCGTGATTATATGAAAAATTCTAATTCTGCTGATCTCTATGATGTAAAAATGGAAGGTGTGAAAAATAAAAAATGTTCTGACGTGATAAAATAAGAAATAAATTCTAATTATCTTGTGTTCATGATATAGGAAGCACAATCCAATCGACTTACGTGATGTAAGCACATAAGCTGCGAAAGGTAGAAGTCGAGACGAGGAGCGGATACAGGGAAGAAAAGAAAACAAACACATTTGTTTTATAATTTGCTTATTTATTTATTGAAAAATATGAAGAGTTTAAATTTTAAAAAATTACGCTCATCAAAATCAGGATCAAATTTATATTATCTTCTTGGTCCGATGGTAGTTTTATTGGAGGAAGAACGAATTTTTTTTCCTAAAATGGTGTAAATGTAGGTGGGTGAATTTCTTGAATCCATAAGCCCTCCTTCAATTCTCCGCCAACTATTCCTTGATAAACTGCTTTAATATCGAGCAAATAGTAGATTACATACCTAGGGAGTGAAAAACTGGAAAGCCTCAGAGCACGTGTGATTATCAGCCGAGACTGATAAACATATGCTCTGAGGCTTTCTTTTTTCGCTTCATAGGTGCGTAAGCTCTTTCAAGAATCCTCCAGAGAAATTGACTTTTTCGTTTGCCCGCAGAAAGTACTAGAGTGTAATTATAACAAGTTTATTGAGTATTTACTCTACTGTCTAGTGAAGGAGCTCGCTCGAGGCTGTAGCTTACTCCGAGTCTGCGAGATAACTGACTCGCCTGGCTTGTCGTTCGTCTTTGGCAACCTCGTGTGTTTACATACATTACAGCATTCTTGACCTTGCTACCTTAAAACTAAGATAAAAACTTATCGAAAGGCTATTTTAGTTTATTTTTCTGAATTTTATTTGACCATTTGAGAGTGAGTTTAAAATTGAGCTATCCAGCCGCTTTGGCTACTTCTATGCAACACTGATTATTAATTTTTTATATGCTCTTGCGAACATACAGGGTGTCACAAAAGTATGGAAACCTCCTAAAAACGGGCTAGATGTGCGGAGAAAAAAAATCATGAGAGGTTTTTGATTTTTTTTCTCCGCATATTTAGCCCACTTTTAGGTTTCCATACTTTTGTAACACCCTGTATATAATTGCGTTAATATGCCCATGTCAATTACACAATACTAGGTAAAATGAGTTTTAATCTCCTAATTATGTGATTCATCCAAATATGTTTTGAATAATATTTTCTGTCAATATGCCATAACAGAACTATCAATTTAAAATATACTTGATAAATATTATCAAAAACCCATTTTTGACATAATTTTCGAGAAATCGAAAGATAACCTTAAATTTGACCTTTAACATAACCTCAAAACTATAACGAATCAAAAATCAATTTTCAAATAGCTATCCCCTTTTGTTATTGCACATTTGACTAGAATGTAAAATTTTACATTCTAATAAGCCCTTTGCTCTTTTCAAGTTCAGTTTTAGGGTGCCACAGATACAAATAAATCCCTCTTTCTAACCAAAATTGTTTGAAAAAAGTCGAAAAAATTTTTTTATTAGCTGTAAAGATGATTTTTTGAGTAGAAAGTGTCAGTATAATGACGAAAATCATGCTCTCGACTATTAAAAAAAAATGTCGATATTGTTCGATAAATTTGAGCTAATATTACTGTTATATACTGTAAGGAAGTAGTCCAGCACAGGGTCGGACGGTACTCCTTCCTTTAAATTGTATCCTAGAATCCCTTCCACCCGAGAGAGAGATCATAAATAAGCGAGGCTAATGGTATTGCGGATCGGCGCCAATTAATCGATAAGCGCCGAATTGGCAGAGAGAGAGAGCCGTGATCAACGCTAAGTGCGTAGACGGGTCTTGCGTGTGCTGCCTTATGAGCAGAAGAAAGCCTGTCAAGTGGAAAGGGAGGCCTATGATGACTGACGAGCCGACGAGGAGTTGATGAAGTGAACACTCTGTGTTGGACCTCGCGTGAAATAGCTTCGAGCTACCGACCCCTCTCGTGTGGGACCTGCGATGGCCAGCGTGTGTGAGAGTGAGTCTGCCATCCTGGAGAGCATCAACATCTGGCTGCCTTCTCGTCTGCCCTCGCTATTTTTGCAGTCTTCGTCAGGCCCAATCAACCACCAATAAACCATGGAGTCAACGAATGTAAGTCTCTCGATTCTCTCATGCATATGCGCCATATTATTGTATTCTCAACACGCTCAGTCTCTCTCGGTCTTGTCCCCGCCTAGCCCAAACTCACGACCGTCGTATCTACCGAAATAGCCGCGGTGGCCTTTTGCCGTTGTTATAATTGTACGGGTGAATGTTTCGTGCCGAGCGAACAATTATCGCACATTTGTAATTCTTACCTTTCTTGTATTCTATATTCTCAGGCGTCACTACCGTGACTGGCGCTCTTTTTAATAAATAAGCCTAATTATTGATTACACATTACATGATCGCGTGGATTATTTTTGGCACACCTTTTCTTCGTTCCCCGTTACAGGACAACGGACATCTCGCCGGACAAGTTACTTGCCTCCTGAGGGTAAACTGTTACAATACCCTTTGCTATGGGTAATAACTTTATTATTTTTGAATTAATTTTTACTGTTGCTGTTTGAGGGGAGGAACATGAAATAAGTGTATAATGCTCGAGTGAGGTTCACACACAAGACTTTATTATAAACATAAAAACTTAATACTATTTGAAAAAAGCTTACAAACTATGACGGCAGAAGATCGGTGATTTTGATGCTGGCTCGCTGTCGGTCGGCGGAGTTGAACGGCTGGTGGTGGCTGCTGGTCGGTCGATGGTCACTGCTGCCTGGCTGATGGTGGCGGCTTGGCTAGTACAAGCTCGGATGCACCCTCACGAGCTTTACCGTTCGCGTAAACAATAAGTCGCTTCGACACTCGCGGCCGTATAATTACGGTTACAATTAAGCTAGTGCGCTGTTAATAATTTTCTACTACTTCCCGCGAAATACAAGTATATTTTATACGATGTTTAATAAATTGCGGAGTCTCTACTACAATATTCCAATCGTTTGTGCACAGAGCTTCGTCCTACTCAACAGTATATAATGATCTGCCCAGAGCTTCTCTCTACTCAATAACAGTAACTGATCTGCCCGAGGCCTAATTTTTACGCCGGTTATATACTAATTTATTCATGCATCTTTTCTGCGGAGGCACGTCTTGATTTTTTTCCCAAGTTGCGAAACTACAGGCTATTTCGTCACTTGTTGACTTGTTGTCTGTGCCGCCTTTTCGCTCGCGAGATCATGCGTCATGCGTGTTCGTCTGCCGGTCTAATTTGTATCGTTTTTAATTATTATATTTTAATTTTACAATACTTAATACTAGGTTATTGGTATATAACAGTACTTTACGATACAAGTGCCATAAGTAACACTTTTTAGCTCGGCTTAGTTTAGGACCCGAGCATAGCGAGGGTCCTTATAGCTGGGCCGAAAAGTGTCCCCATGGCACGAATATCATACAACATTTTATAACACTGTGCCAAGTTCACATTTATGCCCCCTTTCCCGAGCCATGAGTTGCACTTTCTGGTACCGCGAAGTGAGGTTAGCAAACGAACGTATGCGAGTGTGATGCGAACGCAGCGGTGCCAGAATGCGCGACTTATGCCACCGAAAAGCGTGCCATAAATGTGAACTTATGTTCCGTAGTGCTATAAAATTGTTTTTTTTTATAATCTGTGGTGCCCTTGAAATGACAAAAAAACAACAAAAAGTATTTGAACTTGAAAATTCACGCTGTTTTCAAATCTGTAAAAAAAATAGGGATTCCTACTTGTAAAATAGATTTTTGATTCGCTGTAGCTTTGAGGTCATGTTCAAGGTCAAATTCAAGGTCACCATTCCATTTCTCGTTGGAAAATACGTCGAACATTTATTACGCTTGCTGTGCAAGAGATTTCCATACTCTTATGACACCCTGAATATACATTGTGACTCAAACTCGATACAAGTTTGTTCAAGTTTGTTGTAAGTAATGGTCGTACAAGAATAAACATTGGTTTTAAAAACTTGATTTATTTTTGTACTTCAATTTCTGATCTCAACTAAAGATGATACTTTTTTATTTAATTTTTGATTTTAGGATACGCAATCAGTGGAAAATAATAATACCAGGTCATTTAAAAAATGTATAAAACCTGAAGATCAAACGATTGGTACGTATGTATAAATATTTATAAAGTTCGAATTATAAAAGGGAAAGTTTTTGATTGAGAAAATATGATTGAAATCCTCTTTGGTATTACATATTAATGTCCTGAACTTAAGGTTTTGAGTACTATTGACCAGGAACTTTAAAATATGTGCCGCTCTATCGGGGCATATACATTTTATCGAACCAAATTTAGAAAAACTTATTGATTCACAAACAAAGTTTTTGTAATAAAATCTACTTCTTTTCCTATTTCTTAAGTAGGACCGTACACGTACGCATAAAGAATGCAGCAATGGCAAATACATGAAACGACCTCATCATGTGCTGTCCGAAATAAGAGCTTCAGTAATGTTTATTATCAGTAACATGCCGGATTTTTTTTAGAATTTTCCGAGATGATTTTCCCAATTATAAAAAATCTAATTTCACAAAATCATCTAAAAAAGTTTTGAAGTAATAGATAAGTTTAGTTTAAGAGACCGGACCTAATAGATCTTATGTTTTCGGAGTCGCTGAATCCAAATCTGGTATCATTTGTTCTAGGACAAAAATATAAAAGTAGCTGTTTTTAATAGTATTACTTGCCCCGTTTATACTATTCAAAAGTGTTTCAAGCGCAGGTTATATTTTTTGAAAATTTTTATTTGGAAAAAGTGTAAGGAGCTCAGTTTACACTTTTCAAAAGTATTTTAAGCAAAGATTACACTTTTTGTAATGTGTCGCACTAGAAAAAGTGAACTTTTTCTGTTGTGATGAATTTCCAAAAAGTGTAATCTGTGCTTACAACAATTTTGGAAAGTGTAAACTGAGCTCCTTACACTTTTTCCAAATAAAAATTTTCAAAAAGTATAACCTGCACTCGAAACCCTTTTGAATAGTATAAACTGCGCAAGTTATACCACTATACAGTAATTTTTATACTTTTGGGTTTTCAGTGTACATAAAGGAGGGGTAGGTAGTAGCCACACGTAGGATGAGAGAAGCAGCCTTGCTAAAATGGGCGAATGCGGTTTGCCTTGATAATCGGTAGCAGCTATTCGCCTGCGTCAGTCAAGGTGGGGAAGCGCGAATCGACCGAAGCTTCACCTAGTGGCAAATGTATTTGGAGACTGTAAAGCATTAGATCATATGAAGTTCTACTGTTTTTCAAATATATTTCTATTAAAATCCAAAATTTCGGAAAATTAATGGCACCATTAGATTCCTCGTCAAATTTTACTTTGATAATGATTGTCAACTCGAAAAGTATGATTGTAAAATTATTGACAATATCGATTCGAAAAACAAAAATCATGTCGCCGTGAAGCGATACCTGTTTCACAGTCGTCGCGCAACTGTTCCATTCGAGTTTGTGAATAATTTTACAGTGATAGTTTTAAAGTGGATTATTATTATTCTTACAGTAAAATTTGATGAAGAATCGATCGATGCCATTATTATTTCAAAATTTTGCATATAAGTCAAGATATGATCGAAAAAGGGTACACCTCACCCATTTTTCGCGAATATTTCGGTAAATACGTTATGTCCCCAGCGTAAATTTAAAAAGAAATAAAGTACATAATAATGTTTTGAACTGTAATAAAAAGTAAAAAAGTGTAAAATAACATAAAATTCTGAAATAATAAGTTATTTATCTTAACCTATTAAGTCCCAAGAGGACGTTTTTGACACTTATTTCGGTCGCTGTATTTTTCATGAAAAAGGGGTCTGAAAAATATGCGAGTAGCCTGTTCTTATGTAAAATTTAATGCCCTTTTAGAATCTGTTGTTCAAGAATTTTTAACTCGACAACCATCAACTTTACGAAAAAAAGTTATAGAACAAAAAGTTTTTAAAATTGATCAAAAAACACTTGATTTTTTTCAGAATTTTTGGAACCATTTTTGGATTTTTGGGAAAATGGTCATATCCAAATATCCAAAAATCGCTCCGAAAATTCTGAGAAAAAATTCACACGTATTCTTTGATCAATTCGAAACACTTTTTGTTCTATAAAATTTTTCCCTCAAGTCCTTCGTTTTCGAGTTAAAAATTCTAGAAGTTTTTTTTCATTTTTTTCGCGTTCTGACCACCATTTTGTTTGTTTAAACATTAATTCTTCGAATCGGAACCCCTCTAACTTTTAGTTTAGACTTCGAGGACGCGATATTTGTACGAAAACCATGAGATTTTAAATGCTTTCCGTTTGGAAAATCAAAAAATAAAAAAATTTTTTTTTTCTAAATCACGCTTTTTTTTTGATAAAATCAACTATAACTTTTGACCTGATTTTTTTTCGAAAATCTGAGCTCAGATTCTAAAAGGGCATTAAATTGTACATAAGAACAGGCTACTTGCATATTTTTTAGACCCCTTTTTCATGAAAAATGCAGCGACCGAAATAAGTGTCAAAAAACGTCCTCTTGGGACTTAATGGGTTAAGGTGACTAACCTGTGTTAAAAGCTTAAATTCAGCTTCAGCTAAAAATAGCAATATGAATCGAAATAGTGAAATTTTTTTTTTGTGATAGTAAAATATGTTCATTCTAAACCAGATTGACCAAAATACTTCTACCCAAGCTCTGAAATACCAATTACATCACTTTTTTCATAAGACGAAATATTGTGTTATAAATCACTTGCCGCATGATCTTGAAAAGAGTTTTTCATCAATATTGATCTATGGAGTCTCAAAATCTTCAGAAAAGTACCCTCATCCACCTAAGCGGAGCAGAATTTTAAAAATTGCGTACAACTTTATATAGGCTATATCGCGTCAACTGTCCCCCCTCTTGGTTCAGAGTTGTTATTTGATTTTTCATATTTTATTCTGCTTCCCAAGGGTGAGTATAAAAAAATTATTGAATCATGACTTTTTATGTAAAATTTGATAAGGAATTCCAATTTGATGTCAAAGATCATTTTTATAACCTCCAAGTATCTTAATTTCTAAAATTCAGCCTTAGTGCCAAAAATAAACATGTCCGTGTCCAGCGATATGGCCAATATTGTAATATGTTCATCGATACACCAAAATACAACTTCTGATAAATTTTGGTCATCGGCAGACAAACAGAATTCATTATTGAGCATCATACACTGCCGTTCAATCACTTTTGCCATACCTAAGTAAAAAATGAGTAAACTTCAAAACGTCATATCTCAGTCAATAAAAGTTGTATCAAGATTTTTAAACCACCATTTGAAAGGTCTTTTTAAGTCCTTTCTAACCATATATATTAGCATTAGGATTATTTATTTACTTACTTATTTTCGTTAACAATTAACAAGTAAAAATAAAAGTTTTTCTGGTCTTTGCTTTTTCTGCTGTCAGTTTAGTAAGAAGACTCGTAGAAGCATTCTGATCCCATCAATTGGTAGTTTTTGTCAAGACCTTTAAATCCCTTTCAAATTAAATTGTCCTACGCGCATTCCTCGCAAAGATACGATGGTTTAACTGTAGAGCAATAATTGTTTTTAAATTTTCAAATTATTTTTCATTTATATGTACATGGCTTTGTAAATGAGATGGAAAAACACTTTAGTTCCAAAACATGTTTGTTTTTGTATGTTGGATAAGAATTACTTGTTATGGATGAGATTCTTGAAATATTCATGGTTTGGACTCATCAAAATTTTAAAATTTAAAAAAATATTGGGGTCCAGTAAACGGCCGTATCTTTGCGAATAAGGCCCGTAGGACCCTTTTTAAAAAAAGGATTTAAAGGTCTTGAAAAAACCTACAAATCTATGGGCTCAGAATGTTTCTACGAGTCTTCTTACTAAACTCATAGCAGACATAGCAAAGATCAGAAAAACTTTTTCTTTTGACTTATTAATTGTTAACGACAATTAGTAAAAAAATGAATAATCCTGATACTGATATATATGGTTAGAAAGAGCTTGAAAAGACCTTTCAAATGGTGGTTTCAAAATCTTGATACGACTTTTATTGACTGAGATATGACGTTTTGAAGTTTACTCATTTTTTACTTAGGTATGGCAAAAATGATTGAACGGCAGTGTATGTGTCAATAAAACATGGTTTTTCTCTAATTTTCCTCTATTCTTGACTCATATCATGTTCAATAATAAAGTTTGTTTGTCTGCCGATGACCAAAATTTATCAGAAGTGGTATTTTGATGTATTGATAAACATACTACAATATTGGCCATATCGCTGAACATGTTTATTTTTGGCACTGAGGCTGAATTTTAGAAATTAACGTATTTGGAGGTTATGAACATGATATTTAAAATCTAATTTGAATTCCTCATCAAATCTTACATAAAAAGTCATGTTTCAATAATTTTTTCATATTCACCCTTGGGAAGCAGAATAAAATATGAAAAATCAAATCAAAAAAAGGGGGGACAGTTGACACGGTATAGCCCATATACACGCCAAAATGTGCCAATTTTTAAGAAAATTAGTATTTTATCAACACAAGAGAAACAAACTTTTTTTTCAAACTCTGCTTCGCTTAAGGGCTAACAGGGGGCTTAATTATTTATCATTTTTCAATTACAGTACTAAGCTATAAAAGTGAGAAAAAAATGTTTTTGTTCAATAACACAAATGATAACCCTTTTCAATAGCCTATTTGAAAGTATTTTGTCAAGTTAGATACTTAGAAACAATTGAGTACAATAATGAGGGTATTGGTCATCACCGCAAGCTATACGCATATCTAAGCTACCTGTCGTAGAAATCCAAGATCAAGCATTCAGGTAAAGGAGCCTACGTAGTTTCATTTTGTTCGATAGTCAATTGGCCATGGTCGCCACCAAAAGCTAGCCATAAGATGAACTGTAGCTACTCCTGTGTACATTTTTCTAGAATTTAGTATTCATTTTTTATCATTTCCCATAAATTAATTTCACTTTGCTATATGTACAAGTAGCTACAGTTCATCTTATGGCTAGCTTTTGGTTGCGACCATGGCCAATGGCTATCGAACAAAATGAAACTACATAGGCTCCTTTACCTGAATGCTTGATCTTGGATTTCTACGACAGGTAGCTTAGATATGCGTATAGCTTGCGTTGATGACCAATACCCTCATTATTGTACTCAATTGTTTCTAAGTATCTAACTTGACAAAATACTTTCAAATAGGCTATTGAAAAGGGTTATCATTTGTGTTATTGAAAAAAAACATTTTTTTTACTTTTACAACCTAATACTGTAATTGAAAAATGATAAATAATTAAGCCCCCTGTTAGCCCTTAAGTGGATGAGAATTTCGAATTAACGAAGTTCGAATTGACGAAGTAAAAGAGAGGCCAAATTAAATAAAGTTCGAATTATAGAAAAACGCAGGTATTTTTATTTATTTAATATGTAAACACAATTCTAAGTAAAATAAGAAGTCATTTTAGATTGAACTAACAGCTTTTTTTTTATAAAAAAGGATTCAACTTTTTGCATTGCAAAAAATAAATCATCAGAAACTTCTTCATCACAAGACTCGATGAAATCTTTCGATCCTTCAAACTTTTCGATCGCTTCACTGGATGTAGGAATGATTTTCCTGGTACTTTTTTCTGCTTCTTCTTAATTAAAACATTTCTTATTTAAAACATCAGCAATTATTTCTTGCTCACTTAATACTCCAAATATTGATACATTATCATCAACAGAAACATATTCTTCCCAATCCCAATTTTCATCAATTTCTTCAATTATCTGTACGAACGGTTCAAATGTAATTGTAAATCCAACCTTTCCGAAACTATGACAGATCGTTGCTTTGACAGTTCGAAATCACTGGGGATTGGCTGTTTTGCCAATCATTAGCAACGGAAGTTTTTCACTTCTATCCATATTGGCGCCAACAAGAATTAAAACTCGCTTTTTATTGTGTCTACCATCAAAACATGGTTGACCTTTGAAATCGTACGTTTTTGATGGAAGGCCCTTGTAAAACAATCCTGTTTCATCTTCATTAAAAATATTTGTTGGCTCGTATTCTTTTAAAATTTGATCGAGCGAAATCATCCAAGAGTGTAGTTAACTTTTTTTGACTCTTATTGCACCCGAGGGCCCCATGCTGTAGTAAACGTCCCTTCTCCTCTTCAGCAGACGACAAAACCTTAATCGGACCATAAAAATTATCATTTTCTCGGGTAAATATTACAATAATTAGCACGTCAACATGTATTATTTAATATACTAATCAAAAGCTTATACTTTCAACTTTATATTATCAGTTTTTTGAAGAGCTGTATAATATATTTTGAAAGTTATTCAACAAGAAGCGTTCAAAAGTAGATGTGCGCCCATATACACGCTGTGTTAAAAAGTCAATTTTCGATGACTTTATTCTCGAAAATTAGCATGGCAACAGGGTCTAATATTTTGCAGGGAGATTGTTCAATTACTCATTAATGTTTTTCCAAAATTGCAAGACCCTATATGAAAAACAGTTTCGGTAAACCTTTTTACCCGACATGTCAGGTATGGTGTCCACAAATTTACAGTTATATGGATTAGTAAAGACGTTTTGTATCTTCAACTCTCGCTAATATTGAAAAAAAAGACAAAGTAGAATTTTTCATATTGGTTTTAAAACGTGTAAATCGCAATCTCACTGAAATTTAAAAAAACTTTTTAAATCTAAATACTTTTTTCTACGAGGTATTTGAGAGTAGGTATTCAATTATGAAAATATCGGGTTTATATGAAAGATAATAAATGTTAGAATAATTTAAAATAATTATAATGATGTTAAAAACATTAAATAATCTCCTAGTTCAATCTAGTCGATGATGATGATTTTAAGCACTTTGATCGCTGATATAAGCAACTTTTAAATTTAATATATTGCATATAGTTTAAACAAAATTTAATCATATTAAAAATTACTTCCAGAAATCAAATTTCAGAGTGATGATAAATCCATTTATTATTCGTCAAGTAGTAGTTTGATTAATAATTTTAATACGAAGGAAGGTTTCGAAAAAGAAATCAAATCAAGTCTATTTTCTAAATTCAGTCACATTGAATCAAATTCTCATAAAAAACAGAACTTAGATATATTATACCAAAATCACTCACTTGATTCCATGAAAAAAAGCAAAAGATGTGTTAGTGTAGTTAATCATGAATTCGCAAGTAACTACAAATTTTCAGAGAAAATGTGGATTAAATTAAGAGAAAAGAAGACCATATTTGTTATGAGTCACGATGGACAAGTAGATAGTTGCTCGAAAACCATGAACTCAGAGATTATTCAACAAAAAAATAAATTTATCAGAAAAGAGAAAAATTCGAATGAAACCCTAAAATCAATTTCTAATGACTTATGGATCAAGAAGTATAGACCATCGAATAGTTCAACAATAATTGGTAATAATGAGGCCATTTTGAAATTAAAAACATGGCTAAACACCTGGAATTACCACCAAAATAAATTAAATGAAAGCAGTAGCGATGAATTCCATATTAATAATCATGAGGAACGTAGCTTCCCTCCGAATACTGTTGCGATACTGAAAGGACCTCATGGCTGTGGTAAATCATCTAGCGTTTATGCTATCGCAGATGAACTTGAATATAGGTTAGTAACACCCACTTTCGAAATAATTTTTGAGTATGTTTATATTTATTATTATTTATATTTATTAAACTTTCTTTATCATTACAAAGCTCTATGCCGCATGAATCTGAGTAGAAACGTTGACCATTCTTGATCCTAGAGGTCTTCAAATTGTTCTAATACCATTCTCTTCCGAAGTCTAACAGAATTTCAAGAAAAATCTAGAAATTTTTTTTTAAAACTAAAATACTCAAAAAAATGTCAAATTAGCTTCTTTCAAGACTTATTGCCACTTTTTGGGAATGGTAGATTGAATAAATAATGTAATCAAACTTAAGTGGAAGAGAATCCTTTTACATAAATTCAAAGACCTCTAGGTCAAAGGCTCCTTTCCGATTCATGCGGCGAAGAGCTTTGCAATGATAAGTAAGTTTTCCTGCGCGCACTGGACTCATTTAAATAATAAAAAGTACTAGAAACATGTTTTCTGATGTAAAAAGACTTGAAAAAACATAATTTTACATCAAAAACCTAAAATTCAATTTTTACATTTCATTTTCATTTTTTCAATTCATAAAATAATAGAGGATTTAACACAGGCGTGACCCCTTTAATGTCGTTAAGGGCTATCTATACACACTCACAAGGAGAGCTTTTCATGGGCCTTAGGGCCCATTTTTTAGAGGATTTTCCACATTATACAAAATCTTTGTAATTTTCTATATCCATATAGAAGTTGTAAGGAAGTAGTCCAGCACAGGGTCCGACGGTACTCCTTCCTTGTATAATATATCCTAAAATTCCTTCCGCCCGAGAGAGAGCTTGGAAATAAGCGAGCCTAGTGGTATTGCGGATCGGCGCCAATTTATCGATAAGCGCCGAATTTGCAGAGAGAGAGAGCCGTGATCAACGCTACGTGCGTAGACGGGTCTTGCGCGTGCTGCCTTATGAGCAGGAGAAAGCCTGTCAAGTGGAAAGGGAGGCCTATGATGACTGACGAGCCGACGAGGAGTTGATGAAGTGAACACTCTGTGTTGGACCTCGCGTGAAATAGCTTCGAGCTACCGACCCCTCTCGTGTGGGACCTGCGATGGCCAGCGTGTGTGAGAGTGAGTCTGCCATCCTGGAGAGCATCAACATCTGGCTACCTTCTCGTCTGCCCTCGCTATTTTCGCAGTCTTCGTCGGGCCCAATCAACCACCAATAAACCATAGAGTCAACGAATGTAAGTCGCCTATATCTCTCTCGCGTAATGCGCCATAACTATCTCTGTTCGTTACGCTCGATCTCTCTCGGTCTTGTCTCCGCCTAGCCCAAACTCACGACCGTCGTATCTGCCGCTCTAGCCGAGGTGGCCTAATCGCGTGTGTACATTGTACCGGAGTAAACCTATATGTCAATTGCGTGTTGAAGCCCAATAACTAATCGTCGATTTCTTGAATGTAATAGATATAATCAGGCGTCACACTCGTGACTGGCGCCTTTTCTAATAATAAATTAAGCCTTGTTATATTTTTGCCTTTTACATGATCGAGTAAGTTATTTCGACACCCCGTTTATTCCGTTTACAGCAACGCAAGATTTCGCCGGATCATTCGCTTGCATCCCGAGGGCGAACGGTTACAAAGTACTTAAACGAAAAAATGCAACGATTAAAAGTTTTAAAATTTTTCAAAGAATCTGCTTGAATTTATCCAGAATTTTCGGGACCATCTATCACCTCATTCAAGAGGCCCAAATTTAACGCCTTTTTAATAGATTTTAGGATTTCTTAAAGAGAGTGGTAGATGGTTCCAAAAATTCTGAAAAAATTCAAGCAGATTCTTTGATAAATTTTAAAACTTTTGATCGTTGCATTTTTTCGCTTAAGTACTTCTATATCGATATAGAAAATAACAAAGATTTTTTTATAATGTGGAAAATCCTCTACAAAATGGGCCCTAAGTCCCATGAGATCAAACTAATCACAAGGACCTTAAGTATTGGGTACCAGGAAACCGCAAAAAAATTTTGAAGCAAATCCATGACCCGGACATGAAAAGCTCTCCTTGGCAGTCGGTAACACCATGATATCAAGCAATTTATGTTAAATTTGAAAAATTGAGACTGTCATTCGCCAATTCTCGAGTGGACGCACATTTCTAACACACTTATTAACATTGTGGTCGAGTTTTATCCAATTTCATGCCCTATTGAAGGAGAAAAACGGAAACTACGAATAATCATGTTCTATAAATCTGTGAACGAGATACGTAGTTTTCATTTTTTTCTTCGATAATGCATGAAATTGGAGGAAACTCAACCAAAATGTTAATAAGTATATTAGAAATGTGCGTCCACTCGAGAATTGTCGCATGACACTCACAATTTTTCAGATTTAACATAAATTGCTTGATATCATGGTGTTACCGACTGAGTGTGTATAGAGGGCCCTTAACAATAAATTAAAAATCTTAACTCTGGAAACGTAACTGACATCAATGTTTATTATTTCAGAGTTCTTGAAGTTAATGCTTCTGCAAAAAGAACTAAAAAAATTATTTCTAGACAAATTAAAGAAGCTACTGAATCTTTTAGAGTAAAAGACAGGAAAAATGTAGATGAAAATAAAAAAGGAAAAAAAGGAAACCTCAATTATAGCTTTTATCGTTCACTTATTCTTATTGAAGATATTGATATTGTTTTTGATGAAGATGATGGGTTTATATCTGCTGTTATACAATTGATTTCGGAAACAAAAGTGCCAATAATTATAACCGTGACCAATACACACTTAGATGTTTGTAAAATAGCTCCACAGAATATAACTATACATTTTGATAAAGTGTCAAGTAAGGAAAAAGACGATTGGTTGCAGACTATAGCACTTAAAGAAACAGGTTATGAAATTCCACATAAATACATAAAAGTAAGTGAAGAAGAAGCATTATTAAAAATTGTTTTTTTGAAAAAAATACTGAACATTTTAAGGTGATGCCTTGCCACAATTTTTACCAACCGAGCAGAGAAAATGTATACTTCCGTAACTTTTTTTTCAGGCTGATTTTCGAAAAACGGCTCTGTAGAGCCCTCCGTATTGTAGCTGTGAATAACTGCACCAAATTTTAGCCAATTTCATTGGGTAATTTTTACGGAAAAGAGGATCGAAATTTTTGATTACTGCTTGAAGGATAAAAAATTTTGATCCAGTTTTCCGGGAAAACCATCCGATGAAATTGGCTGAAATTTGTCGTAGTTGTTCGCTGCAACAATACGGAAGGCTCCACAGAGCCGTTTTTTGAAAATCAGCCTGGAAAAAAGTTACGAAAATATACATTTTCTGTGCTCGGTCGGTAAAAATTGTGGCCAAGGCATCACCTTAAAAAAATGTCTTATTTAAACCTTTAAATTTAAAATGTATACAATTTTTATATTTGTTGTCTGGTAAAACTAATTGGGGCCACCCTTTATCATTATCTTTGTCGTTGTTTGCCTAGCCATTAGTTTTCGGCACTTTATAATGATTTGAGTTTGTAAAATAAGTTGTTCTCGCAATCATCCCTTATCGGGTGTGAAGTGTCTTTCAATTATTAATGCTGAGCGAAGCGAAGTCGTTTATCCTTTCAGCTCAATTGATTTCGGCATATTTTGTGTCAACGGTTGCTAGAGAACGACGTCACGGAATGTTCTGGAATTTTCAAGGGTTGTTGAGGGTGGTCAGCTGAAGGTCTGATTGCCACATTCCGTCGACCTGGTGCACTAGGTCGCCGATCTGGCCCCTGTGAAATCTTTTTCGAGAATTTTCGTTATTAGGTTTTACCGACTGGGTAAATTTCATCTTAGCGGTAGGTTTTACCGACTGGGTAAAAATCATTTTAGCGTCCTGTAGGTCGTTTTGAAGATACCATAGAATGTATATGTAAGATGCCTCATGTCGCGTCGACTTCAGAAAATCGCGTCAATTTTAGCTAAATGTGGCATTTGGTTAATGGTATTTTCATAACGACCTACAGGACGCTAAAATGATCGTAGAGAACTCTTTTTTTTCAAATTTCTTGTTGAAAAGAATACTTTTTGATGATGCTCTTTGCATTGAGATAACACAATAAATAAACTGCAGGTACACGTTGAAACGATCCATTTTTTTAAGAAATTCATAAAAATCCGATTTTCTTCGAGCGCGCCAAGTTTTTCCTGCTTTAAACATCACCTCAGTGTACATTTTTCTTGTTAGTACTTATCTCAAAGAAAAGAAAGAGACCGCGGGCGATGGTGTTGAATTTAAAAATCGACCTCGACTATGTAGTCGAAAATCGAGTAAAATAGGCAAAAAACAGCCAAAATCTCGGCTTTATACGCATTACGTGGTTCCGTATCTTAATTCTGAGCTCAGGTGGTGGTTGAAACATGTTTATTAGCCTATAAGTTGATGAATCGCGGAGTTTAGAATCGCAAACATCATTTTTCCATTTTTGGCGCGTGGTAGAGTGAAAAAAAGGCGAATTTAAGCAAAACACAGCGAAAAATATTTTAATCGACGTTGAGGAGACAGAAAGAATCATTTGTACGCCCCTGCCTTGAACGGGCTTTCATTATATACATGAAACTAACAGAAAATCACTATTACGAATCGATTCTAGAAAAAAGCCTAAAAACGGCCCACCCTACTATGTAGTGCAATCAACTGCATACAAGTGCATAAGAATTCAAAACCAAAAAAAATCAGGTTACTGGGTACCCGGTGACAAGTTGCTTTGTAATTGAAAAATTATCCCGCCAAATTTCATCATTATAAACGAAACTTAAAAGAAACTGCATCAAAGTGCATTCGAATTCAAAACCAATAAAACCAAGCCACAGGGTACTTAGTGGCAAGTTGCTTTGTAATTAAAAATTTTTCAGCCAAATTACATCAAATCAAGGTGATGCCTTGGCCACAATTTTTACCGACCAAGCGTAGAAAATGTATATTTTTGTAACTTTTTTTCCAGGCTGATTTTCGAAAAACGGCTCTGTGGAGCCCTCCGTATTGTTGCTGTGAACAACTGCGACAAATTTTAGCCAGTTTCATCGGATAGTTTTCCCGGAAAAGAGGATCGAAATTTTTTATCCTGCAAACAGTAATCAAAAATTTCGATCCTGTTTTCCGGGAAAACTATCCGATGAAACTGGCTAAAATTTGTCGCAGTTGTTCACAGCAACAATACGGAGGGCTCCACAGAGCCGTTTTTCAAAAATCAGCCTGGAAAAAAAGTTACGAAAATATACATTTTCTACGCTCGGTCGGTAAAAACTGTGGCCAAGGCATCACCTTAAAGGAAACTCGTAAAAAAACTGCATATGTAGTGCATCCAAGTGTATTCGGGTTAAAAACAAAAAAAAACCTTGTGCGACCTGGTGTACCAAGTCGACAAAATGTAGTTCGACACAATTTAAGAAGTCAGTACGATCCAAAAATAACGAACATTCTCGAAAAAGTTTTTACAAGAGTTAGATCGGTGACCTGGTACACTAGGTCGATTAAATGTGGCAATCAGACCTCAGCCGACCACTCTCAACAACCCCTAAAACTGTTGACAAAAAATAGGCCGAAATCTATTGAGCTGAAAGGATAAACTTATTATGTTATATTATAATATTATTATATTATATTATTCATAAGAATATCAATAATATAATATATATTAATTAATAATAATTAATATATTATTAATTATATTGTTACTTATATTATTGATTAATAATAATTAACGGAAACAATCCTGCGTATGCATCTGAATGAAAAATCAAGGAAACAGTCCTGTCAGCAACTAGGTCGTAATATTGAATTTAAATTTTCTATTTGCTCAGCATTCTGCAACTGGGGTTGCCACTAGTAATAATTATTTACTTGCACAACATTTAATTAACAAACAGACATCGTATGGCGTCAACAAATAATCTTTTTCTCTCACGACATGATTTTAAAAGCAATACTATCAGAACCCGCCTGAAGTTATCTAATTTTTAAATTATTGTTACGCAGGTCGTAACAGAGGGGTCGGCGCATTCGACAAACCGCGTTATAGGGTGAGTCGCATTATAAGAAACCGCGTAATACGAGGGACTCCTGTATTACAATTTATAGAGAATTATTGATATAGACGGCTGGAGGCGTCGTGGCACAGAGACAGAGATAGAGGGGCTGTGGCACAGAAACAAAAATTTTCAGTTACTAAAAGATCTTCGATCTGTAATTTTACGTTAGCAACGGTTTCGGCGGCTTAAAAAACTATGGAAGCTCTGTTCCCGTGAGACTTGCGTCTTTGTCTCCGCCTTGATGTCGCAAGTAGCTTGCAACTCATCTATCGACACATATGTTGTTATTCGAACTCTGATCTTTTAGATCGTTCAATTTAATTTTCTAGTATATTTTCTATTTTATTTTATAGCAAAAAGAAGATTGATGTTCATAATAAATAAAGAATGATAAATTAAAATTTATAGTTTGTCATGCATAAGAAATAAACGTTCTATCGTCAGCGAGCCATCTCATCTTTATTGCATCGTTGATCAATTAAACGTTGGAAAAAGGATCTGGGTTCTGGATTATACTTATAAATAAATTATTTATAAATGTGCAATTGTTGCGGTTACTAATATGTAAACAATAATGTAAAAAATGGTGTTCGTTGTAAAATCAGAATCAATGGGCGTGGGAACATTGAATCTTCGGCGATTGCACTAGGGGCCATGTGGTTTATCTTCATTTTGACAGGTCCGGGATTAGAAATATTTTGTTTCCCGGCCTACTTTTATAAAGACAGCGTTGCCTATTTTCTGGGGTTTTCGGGTTTTCAATTTTTAAAATTAATCGCATTTTCAGAGGCGATATCACAACACAATACAATAAACCGGTTGTTATTTCCCAAGTTATTCCGATCTTCGCTCCAGATGTTGATTCTGATTCCTAGGGTGTAAAAAATGAGAATAATACACATATGAGTTCAAAAGGTAAAAGTTAACATGTACCGCAACTCAAAATGTGTGGGTACTAGTCGCTCTCCTCGCACTTGATTGGCAACTACTACTACCCCACGACTACCTGGTCGGCTGGCATAGGCAATACGAGACTCGTGGCGCCACGCTAACGCCATACACCGCCAGGGCAACCAGGTTCTCTGCCGAGAGCTAGGTCGCTGCTGTGTGATGATCTCCGATTCTCTAACAACTTCTACTCGCGGCCGCGATTCATGAGTAGTCCAGTGCATTTAGCTGAAAAATGCCCGTTTCTGCCAAAAATTAATAGCAGCAAGCGACCTACACCACCTTGTAGAGGATGTCCGTGGGAACATGTTGGTGAGTTGCGTTGTGATTTGGACAATAACTTGCGAGGGATTTTGGTGGGTTAATAAATAAATGAAATTTTATGCGATCAATTAATATAGAAATAATTAAGAAAGATATATTGTATGCTTCAAGAATAAACTAAGTACAAATTGTTCGGAGCGCCACTGCATGTAGAGCATGCAGACTCTCGATCTTATATTCAGGGCGCGAGTTCCACTGATTAATAAATAATAAGACGCGATTCGCGATACGCGATAGCTCGATAGTGTAGAGTATGTGCGTGTGTGTGTACTTAAACTTAACGAAGGCCGGCCTCTTCGGCGTCGTCGAATTCACACATGTGTGTATGTGTACGTGTGGGTATGTGTGTTTTTGAGTGTATGTCATGCGTGTTCGAGCCGATGCGTGCGTGTGTATTCTCGATGTGCCGCGAGAGTCGAATCTCCCGTCACAAACTTTTTGATGTGAAACATATACATTCGCGTTTGGTATGAGGGGTAAAACCGTAAAAACCGAGCGTCCGTCCGTCCGTCCGAGCGAGCGCAACTTTGGTAGTATAAGGGCCTATACAGCGTCGGTTTGCGCTACTCCCTGTGATTG